TACAACATTCAATTTAATTCATCAATTAAACCCAAAACACAAATTTTCAAAACCCTAACATTCATCAAAACTGAAATTAAAGCTAAAGAAAACATAGTATACACATTAAAGCATAATCTTACCCTTTTTACTTATTTCCTCCAACTCCTTTCTATTTCTTTTCTAATTTCTCTCTTTTCTCTTCTTCTTTTTTCTCCCTTCTCTATCCTGCCGATTCTCTCTCAAATTTTCAGATCCCTCTTTTGTTTTTTTTTTCTTCTATTTATATTTATTATGTTTATTTAATTACCACACTACCTCTCATTCATTTATACCCACTCTTTAAGCCACTAAGGGATTTGTTGTATTTTCCAACTCATTAATTCAAAACATTATAGTGTTATTTGTCATTCTTTGATATATAGCCCTGATGTTTTTGTAGTTCAAAGGCCATCCTTATAACAATAGGTACTTTTATTTATAATGAAGGAAGTTTGTTCCTTACCTTTAGATACATATTGATTTGGTCATACTCTAAGTTAATGATTAAGGAGAAACTCATTCATAGATACTACTGACTTATATATCTAAGGAATAAGGAAGCTATTATAGGGATAGGCTTTGTTAAAGTTAGTGAAGTTAACACATCTTTTACTTTTCTTTTGCTTTTTGTACCATGACCACATTCATGACCTAGTCAGGAAGAACCCGCTTCAAGGAGCTTATCCATATTCTTCAGGATGGTTTTTTTTTTCTTTCACTCATCTCTCAAATTTTCTTTTCTTTTAGTGTATAGGAAAAATAAGGATTAACTTTTAGCTTATAAGAGTCCACTTCTAGGCTAATGTTAGCATGTTGGTCGATATAAACATAAAGTTAGGGATTTGAATCTTCAAAAGTATGGTGAGGGTGTCCTTATTTTTAAAGGTCAAATTTGACTTGAAATTGATAATGTATTATAGGTTTTTTTAAAAAAAAAATCATTTATTGGAGTTTTTCAACAACTTTTATGTGTCTTTATTCTCTTAAACACATTCCTTTCTTATCCTTTTATGATCAAGGCTCTCTTTAAAAAGCTAACTAGCTTTTCTCTCTATAAATACACCTTTATTTATAGATAACTTTATGGCTAGATATATGGTGTTAATTATAACATTAATCTCATACAGAAGTGGTCTTTCAAGTATTGATATTGTGTGTCATATCTATTTGATTATCAATAACATTTGATGAAGAGTCTTACACCTAGAGAAAGTGTTGAAGGTGATCGATATGCTTATAGCTACCTAAACTAGCAAAAACAATTTCTCTTTAATACCTATTGGTAAGGTCTTGACTATGGTGAGTTCAGTATTGTCTAATTCTATTAGTTAAACACATATATAAAGAGTATATTAACAGCATTCATATCATTCATAATGATTTTATGCATATAAATAAATGAAGTTTATGTGGCTTTATTTGTATTGAAAGATGTTTATTCCCTAACTTATTAGTCCAAGTGTTTTTTAGGTAAAAATGCATGGCTTTGTAGCATTGGGTACCCCTATCTATAATAAAGAAAATTTATTAATCATCCTCTAGATGCATAAAGATCTAGTGGTATCTTCAATTGGTGATTAAATATTGTGGTGATCACAAAGGCATTTTCATAAGGACTAGTTACTTATTCTCTATCCTCTATAGTAAAGTGATAGGTTCATACTAAGGGTGAGGAATTTAGGAGGTTACAAGGACTTGTTTTTCATATTTTTTTTATGTTTTTTATAAGATCACTTGATTTTAATGAAAGTTTCATATTGAACAATATTTTTCTCCCTATTTGCTAAAGATGAAGATCTTGATTTATAAAATATTAGAGATAGTTATAGTTCAACAACCTCTCTATTTCTTTTTTAGGTTGAAGCACTAATCAATATCATATATTTTATCATATTAGAATACGTAGTGTTTTTTCTAATTGTGATCTTAAGGATTTCTCTTCACATAATCCTTACCCTAGGTAACAATGTATACTTCAATTTGAGTGGTAGTCAAGAAAGTTATTTAAAGTTCAAGGAAAACTAGTCGACAATGAATTGACTCATTTATGTTATTTTCCTTCTCCTAGAAGGCTTGCAGGGCTTACCCCTCTTAACCTTGTCTTTATTTTATTTTTTTAGAATAAAGGATAGGCCTCTTGAACTATATTATTTTCTTTCACTCAAATAGTATTCCTTATCACTTACTTTACTTTGAGAAAAAAAAGGTGATTGCTCATGAAAGCATATAGGTCTCTATACAAGGCCTAGGTATAACCTTATTGATCAAAATCTTTATAGTAACTAGCTCTAAGAGGTTATCCACCTCTAACATCTTTATTGAATCTAAAAATATAAGCCTTATTGTTTTTGTTTTCCTTCTGAGAGATGGTGAAGAGCTTAGTGAAACAATTTTTAACACGGATGTTGGTATTAAAACTAGCAATGAATTTTTCAAATCAATTTTTAAAACTTAAGATAGAGTCAAGATTAAACATTCTAAGATGAACTTCATAATGGTATCTTAATCTTAAACGATCAACTCTAAGATATTCATTATATGTTGGACATGCTCTTGAAGGTTAATGCGATCATTACAATAATCAAAGTTTATCCTTATAGCGATGAATTTATTAGGCAATTTAATGTTTAAAATATGATAGACTAGGAGAGAGGTCCTTGCTTGATAAATATCATAATATTTCAATTCAGTTAGATTTATAATTAAGAATTTCACTTCACTCGGAGAGTGTTTCAGCTTAAGGCTAGCTGACAAAGTGTTAGAAAGGTGGGTAATCCCTCTTATAACCTTTATAATGCCTCCTAATATGGCTATACATTAATGTTTTTTTCTCCTTTTTTATAGAGATTTTGCTTAGGGAACACCTTATATGATTGTGGAAATGACTTTTATGATAACTAAAAGAGTGATGGTGCTTCCTTCAGTTCTCTACCACAACTTGAAAAGTCATTTTCCCTTTAATAATAATTTTATTTGAGTAATAAAAGGATGAATAAATGGAGGATTTGATAATGATATTAATAAAGCCATAACTTATGTTTGAGTGGTCCCAAAGACCTATGTTAATAATTATATATGTTACACAAGTTCAAAAAAAAAGAAAAGATAAGAGTGAATAAGAGAGTTAGGCCTTTAGATATTAGGTAAAAACATATATATAGCTATAAATCATTTTAGATTGCATGGAGACAAGGGTAAAGAGAGGAAAACATTGTTACAAATGTCTTTAAAGGTCATCATTGGAGATAATAATTCTTAATAGTTGGTGGTTTATTATTAAGTATAAAAGATGATGTCAAGTAAGCCATACATTTAGTATAGACATGCCATGATACCATTTCATAATCTAACTTGTTCCAATAGAATGTGTGAATGTCTATTATTTAATACAAACCATTCGATAAGGAGGTGTTGTAGCTTGACTGCTATTCAAGAAGGGTATTCACTTAGGCATATGTAACTTAAACATTCATGTTATGGTTAAGCTCGCATTACCTAGTCAAGTTGCATGGGTTTAACAGGCTATCTAAACCACTTGTTATATTCCAAGAAAAATTCAATAAATTAATCTAAAATATAAATAAATTAAAAAAAATAGTTAGGTTTTCTTGCTTGTTTAATATAGTGAAAGTTTACAAAAAATAGAAACGAGAAGGAAGCAAATGCTACCAACAAATATAGGTCAATGTTAGCAGCATAAATGGTCGGATTTGTAAGGAGAGTGGCTTAATTCGCTAGAAAATATACAGGGAGGGGTTGTTTTTTGACATAAGGTTGAAAAAGAAATAAGGGGAAGAGAGAACTCTAGGGTTTTAATTCATTTATATTTGCCAATGGAATTTCATAGGGAGGTAATTTTATCAGCATTGCTAACGTGTCAAATTATTAATAAAAATTTATTTTTTATTTTATTTTTTTCTATCCTATCACAATTTCCATTGGGAATTATCATCGGAAATGTTGCATCACTATTTCAATTAGAAATTATTGACTAATAATTTTCATCAAGGTTTTCATTAGTATTTATTAACTTTCTAGTAACGTACACGATAATTAATGATAATATGGGGATACTTGTTTGAATTTCACTCACCTATGGCATGCAACTATCTCATTAAAAAAAAGAGCAATATGATCACATTAATTTACACACGATGGATTATAACCATTGTCGCTTTACATTCCATTAATTACAGAAATATAACCACTTTCAAACCTGATGAGTATTAATTTTTTTAATAAAGTTATCACTAGCATATTCTTCGATAAACGATTTTGGATGCAGAAAAGGTGATTAGAATGCCACCTCTGTACTCTTTAAGTAAATCCATGTAAGATTCCTCCACAGCATTTCCAGTCTTTGGGTCATCTCAAAAGACAAAACGACTATTTTTTTATAATAATTCTTGAAAAATTAAATATCTATTAATTAGTTTTTCCAATGATATTTAACTATTATTAAGTAATTGTTATGGTTTTCCAAGTCCTAAACTCTTTATAAAATGGGCTCCATCCATAGATTCCACATAATTATTAATATCATTCGAAAGCTCATTTGAGAAATCCAAAGGACTCGATGTTTAACTATATTTATTCTTTGTTTTTCTTTTACTTCAAAGAATTGGAATCTTGAATCGATAATCAGGAAATTTTATTTTTTAAATATATTAGATAAATATGAAGGTATGCCTTTAAAATAGCTCAAAAATAAAATTTAGTTTTAATTTACGTACAAATTAATTTGAATACATCCTTAATTATCCGAAAAAGATCTTGTATGAGAATTTGAGACATCAAAAATGATCTTACGTCTCCAACAGAAAGGAAAATCTTACCAAATTCTATCCAAGATATCTCTGAATAAAATATTAATCAAAATCCGTTTGATGGAGTTTGTCATTTGATTGATTCCAACTTCAGAATAAGACAATTGATCATGTGTTCAATAATTGCCTGCCTGCCTGCCATGACCATTAGGTTACTGCCTAGTGGAAATAGATTTAGCTGAAGGTGTCTGTTTACTAATTGTTGATGATGACTGATTTTGTTTCTTTCTTCACTAAATCCATGCGGACACAAGATCCTCCTTTTCTCTGATAAAAACACCCATACAACCCTTTTTTGGCACACCACAGCAGCACCCAGAATTCTTAGCAAATGAAGGCCAACACCATCCTGAAATGGCTAGCTGTCTCCCTCGCCATTTTGATCGCTCTTAGCCAGTCCAGAGCGGAAGAAACACAACCCCTTTCAAACAATCTGAAAATCGATCTTTTTCTTGACAAAATTGGTCAGTGGAGTCATCATCACATACAATCTCAAGAAACAGGATTGAAACTAGCACCCTCTATGGTGATAGCTGGAGCTTTATGTTTCATAGCTGCCTCTATATCTAGTGCAGGTGGCATTGGTGGAGGGGGGTTGTATATTCCAATACTAACTATAGTGGCAAGTCTAGACCTGAAAACAGCCTCAAGTTTCTCAGCTTTTATGGTCACTGGAGGGTCTGTTGCTAATGTCATGTGTAACATGTTTACAAGAAGTGCGAAGTTCGGTGGTCAGACCTTGGTAGACTATGATATTGCAATTCTGTCTGAACCGTGCATGTTGTTAGGGGTTAGTGTTGGGGTTATTTGTAATCTTGTTTTCCCAGAGTGGCTTGTCACAATTTTGTTCGCTGTTTTTCTTGCTTGTTCTACCTTTAAGACTTGTCAGAATGGCGTTTTTCATTGGAAGTTGGAATCGGAAGAAGTGAATAGAAATGGAAGTGGGAATTTGGAAAATAGATTGGTTGAAAATGAGACGAGCACTAAGGGAAGTGAAGAGGTGATATGCAGTGTCAAGGAGCCTCTTTTGGGTGTAGAATTAACTAGTTCCGTATTGAAGTTTCCATGGATGAAGTTGGGGATATTATTCATCATCTGGTTCTCCTTCTCCATCCTCTATCTTCTTCGAGGCAATCGGTATGGAGAGGTATGACTCATTTCTGTTTCTAATTCTCCTTGTGAGTTTCTTCTTCTTTGCAAGATTTTACATAAGATTGGTATTTCCTTACATGATTTTACATAAGATTGATGATTGAAACTGTTCCGATAGCTCTGCGATCCTTTTTCTGCAACTTTAGTGATTCTCTCTGGATGCAGACTTCATATGGTTAAAAATAATTTTTAATTGAAATCGAGAATTTGTTATAAAATTGAGTCAAGATTTTAATTTAATCAAAAGATGAAAATTTTAACTTTTAGATTCTACTAATATTACATATCTTTTTAATAAAAACTACTGAATTATAACTCAAAGTAAAAAATGACTTCTCATAAGCCATGCCCAGCAGACTCTTCATCAAGGATATACATAGTCTAGAGATTATTCATGAAAAACACCGTTCTTCTAATTTTGTTCCTAGAGGAACTTTGTAAGAGTTATTTGTGGAAGTTCATGCTGAACTATGGATGAGTCCAGGCTATATCATGTTCCAGTTGGTTCTTTCTAGTGGAATATAAGGAAAGCCATGTTCAAAGTTACTTCATTTTGGACTTCAACAATGGTGGAATCTGGAACAGGATATGCATGCAGAAAACAAGCAATTCTGCCACAATGATATTAATTTATCATTTGGCTTTCCCTTCTGTTGGATCATCAATATTCATTGGTAAAAGACAGCATCATCAATGTATTTGATGCAATAGATTTCTTCTGAACTTCGAAAACAGCAGGCTCAGCTTGCAAGTCGCTAGCTAATGATTAGGCAGATTGAGAAAATCTTCTTGAAAACAGCAGGCAAAGCTTGCAAGTCACTCACTAATGCTTAGGCAGATTAGGAAGATTTTCTTGAAAACAGCAGGCGCTTCTTGCAAGTCACTGACTAATGATTAGGAAGATTATGATAATTTTTTTGAAAACAGCAGGCACAGCTTGCTAGTCACGACCTAATGATTAGGCAGATAAAGAAGATTTTCTTGATTTGAATGAAGATTAAATAGTAGATTTTACCTTGTCAAATGCGATCGGTATCTCGAACTATACAGGCATTATCCTTTGGAGTATTGTTCATATGTGACAGTTTAGAGTACATGCAGGGTATTATACCAATGGAGTCCTGTGGATTTGGATATTGGGTTGTCTCATCACTTCAAATTCCTCTTGCAATAATTTTCACAGCATTGATACTGTACATGAAAGAGAGCTGCCAACATCAAACTATAAACCAGCAGGTGCTCAACATACCACAGTAGAAATATTTAGCCACTTGCAGTCGATAGTTTTAATGTCACTTCTGTTCTGATAAGAATTTGAGCAACATAATCTAAAAATCAGAGTTATCTGTGAAGGGCATGGAAGACCTAACAGGAGGTGGAACATCAAATAAGCTGATTTTCCCAGTCATGGCATTATTAGCAGGGATGTTGGGAGGAGTTTTTGGGATTGGAGGTGGAATGCTTATCAGCCCACTTCTGCTTCAAGTTGGAATAGCACCTGAGGTAAATTACAACTCATGTTACGTTGAATCAGTTAGCTACTAAATGCAGATTGATTTCCAGCTATAACAATTTCAAACCATCACTTTTCTGTGCAGATAACTGCAGCAACTTGCTCGTTCATGGTTTTCTTTTCATCTTCAATGTCGGCATTACAGTATCTATTGTTGGGCATGGATCATGTTGATACCGCCATCATCCTTTCCTTCATTTGTTTTGTTGCGTCACTTCTTGGGTTGCTGGTGGTACAGGGGGCCATAGTAAAATATGGCAGGGCTTCAATGATTGTATTCTCAGTTAGTACAGTAATGGCTTTGAGTACTGTTCTGATGACCAGCTTTGGAGCTCTTAATGTTTGGGTGGATTATAATTCTGGGAGAAACATGGGGTTCAAACTACCCTGTTGAAGAAAGTTTTGTGTTAGTAATTAGCTCCTAGATTAGGTTCAGTTTTGAGTGCCAAGCTTGAAATAAAAAGAACTACATATAGCAAAAGCAATTTGTATAGTAATTCCTGAAAGCCTTGGATGGCAGAGTTTCCTTTTGGCTGCTAAACACCATTCCAACCCCAACTGTGATACACTCGTGAAAACGAAAAAATAAATGCAATTCCTTCTAATGGTCAGATAGTCATCAAGAGCAGCCAGGATAGATAAGATCCTTTGAAATAAAATTATGACTGCTTTTTTAGCAGATATTTTCCAATTTTTACACATCAGTGCACATAAACATCTTTCTCAAACGAGAAATGAGCAGCGTATTTGAAAGATAAAAACTGGTAAGCAAAATTACCAAATTTGATTAATGGAAATTACAAGATATTCCAGCGATCACTAGGATTCCAAGTTTCCCATCTGTGATTGCACTCATACATTCTTATACTAACCAATCTATCAGAGCAGCGAAAGATGATTGAAAGACAAACATTATCTGTGACCATTAACAAGAATCATAGTTAGTAAAGGCAACAAAAGCTTCCATGCTCTGCGAGAACATAGACATAAAATCCCTGCCTGAATAACTTAAGCAACTGGAGGGCGTAGAACATGATCCTGGGAGGTATCAACAACAGCAGGGGGCATGAACTGCCACATAGAAATTCCAGGATAACCAACAAAGGGCATCAGCTTGCTGCCACCAACTTGGCCTGGGGCAGAAAATGGAGCTGGAATTGCAGACGGATGAGGCAGGAAGTTTGGTGGAGTCCTCAAGGCTTTCACTTGCCGCTCTAGGTTCTCCTTTTCTGTCTTTAGCCTCTGTTTCTCATCACGAAGCTCATTCTTCTCCGCCTGCATGTACAAAGTTTAATGAACATAAATGACAACCACACTTGTCTAGTTCCTTTGCATACTATTAACAATAACAGGTTATATACAATTTATAAACATGTATTTCGAACCTTTTTTAGGTGTTATGTATTAAATATAATGCAAAATTACTGAATACCAAATCCGTGGCACACCTTTAATTCATCGATCTTCTCCTGTAGACTCACATTAGACTCTTTCAGCTTCTGAGATTCATCTCGCAACTGAGTCACCATTCGAGCAGCATCAACCAATATAGCAGATTTGTCCACTTTAGGAGGCCTTCCAGGATCTAAAAGAGCACCCAATTCCATGAACCTGGAGTCCATGTCAAACTAAACATCAGAATAACAGAGAGAGAGAAGAACATAAGCATTAGAAGGGCACTACAGCATGCCTGTCGTTCAGCCTATCCCGCCGCAGTTTCTCTCTACATGCTTTGGAGCCAGTTGCATTACTTGATCCAGGCCTCACTCTGTCATACAAAAAAATAAAAAATAAAAAAACAGATTAGATCACAACAAAAGCAGATGTGGAGAAAAATCCAGGAATAACTAACAAGTTATGACTAATCTGTGTACACTGTACCGTTTCCGACACCCACTGTCCTTATGGCCATCTGAATTCTCATATGAATTATTGAATTCCACACTGAAAACAAAAGGGGTAGAGAGAGATGATGATTAGCATACCTATCAAAAAGATGAAGTTTATTCATTTATATCAAAATCAGCATGCCAGAAATCAAAACTTTTCATAGATGTAGTGTTGCTAAACATCCCGGACCAGTGTCGAAAAAGATATACTAAAAAGCAAGTAATTGGCAATTAAATTCATGTTGAAAACCTCAAACCACGCAATTATGAGTCCCAGTGAAAAAGTACATTGAACCATTCAACCATATTAGCTACACATTTCTGAAAAGAAGTTAATCCAAATCCCAGTAATAAAAAAAACCATTGATAGCAATACCAATAACCAGAATAAATATGCCAATGCATGAATCAACCAAAAAAAAAAAAAACAGCCCTTTTCTTATATTTAAAAAACAATAACTAATTAACAATATTCCAACCCTTTAAGAGAATTTGATGATGCTATCATTACAACCTCGGAAAGGTTACCTGTAACAGCAGAAGAACAATCATATTGCTACAAAACTCAAAAATATATCAATAAATCCACTAGGTCCTATTCTTTATACAAATTTTAGATTAGTTGATAGCAAACAGAACTTGTAAAACCCATTTGGCTATTGACACCTCTAGTCGTCCTGTCCAATAAGCAACACAATTTAGTGTTTCCAGACAGCACAGTATACAAATTTCACAAATCAAACCCACATTTCTAAACAAAACAACAACAAAGCTGCCAACATGCTGTTACCAAGGAAAAAAGAATTGAACTTTACCAATCAAAAAGCGAGTAAAACAAAAGGAGACATAAAAAGGCACCTTAAGAAGGCAGAATCAGTGAAATTATGAGAAGACCAAAGAGACCCATTCGGGGTTTCATCAAGAGATTCAAGACCAAGAAGGTCACCACCAGGGACCGAAATGTCTTCAATCAACCCACAATCAAAAACCCAGTTATCATTTTCATTAGGTAACACCATCTCCGCCGGAATTCAATGTTCCCGGCGTGTGTTCCGGTGAGCCGCCGTGGTGGAAAGAAAAGAAAATGCTGAAAAGGACACGAGTGAATTTGGTTAGGTTGGTTGAGATATGAAAAGGAAAAGAATGAAGGAAAAAGAATATATTTGTTATTTTCAAGAGTCACGTTCTGTTATGCTCCACTAGCACCACGAGTCAAGAAAAAGGCAAAGCAAGCAAGTATAGAAAGCAACATAACACTATAGGTGCCACCCCACATTCGGGTTGACCTGTGGCAGCTCGTGTTATAGGTAAGAGACTCGAGTTGATTCCTCGAAAAGAATTCTTTAAAATAATTAAAAAAATATTATTTTAAAAAATAGTTAATGAATCGGGTTTTCATCATATAAATGGATTAATCCGTATTTTGGACCATTTTAATCAAAAAAAATTATTTAATTTAAATTATTTTAAATATTAAATTAGTTTGTTAAACTAATCCAAATTTTACAATTATGACACAAATTTATAATTTTTGAGAAGATGAATATATAATAAGTATTTATGATTTGGATTGTTTATTATATTTGTATTTTTAGTTTTGATTTTATTATTATTACCCTTGTATTTACAATTATTGTTTATATTATATAAAATTAAACCAGATTACACAGAAAAACATGACTAAAAACTAAGGCAAATATAATCTAAGTATTGCAAATACATGAACACGATTATCAAATCGAAATCATAGAATTAAATATAACTAAAAAAATATTTGCTAGTTTTAGAATTGAAAAATCCAAAAACAAAATTGCTAATTTTTTTAGACTATTGAGCCATGGGGAGTTCAAATTTTTTATTTGGCAGTTTTGGATTTTATTTTTATTTTTATTTTTATTTTCTTATTTTTAAGTTTGGTAGTTTTGGGAATAATGGTTATGGTATGATATGTAAGCAAGTACCAAGACTATAGATTTTTGGTGGATTTATTATTATTATTATGTTTGGTGAAGTCATAGAATTGTATATTTAGTAGAAATACTTTTATGATGGTATCCATTTATATATATGATATTATGAAGAAAGAACTCATGCATAATCCTGCATGAAGCTTACCACGTTTGGATTTTTGTAGTGGTGGCCATTTGGTACCATTTTTACCAAGAAATCCTCTCATATAAGTAGGTTTTGATAGATTTCTCATTTGCTTTGGTTAAAGCTTGAATCAAATCCACAAAGATGTAAAAACATTGGAAATTGTTAGCACTTTCCTAGATTGGATCAAATTGTGGATATTGTTTGCATCTAGCAAAGCTAGAAATTTAGAAATTAAATTCAATGTAATGTATGTTAAAATAGATTTGCACATTTGGACTTACCACCTATCGTGTGTGGTAAATGCATAAAATCAATGAAAATCTATAAATAATAGATAACTTAAATTAGAAAATAATTGAGAGTTTTACGGGATTATATCATTTTTATGTTTTATGTTTTGTTAGTATTTTGGAATAGAAAATACATATATTTAATAATAAAAATATATTTAGTTAAATAGAAAACAGATTCATTCAAAGATAATTTTCAAATAAATTTATATAATTACATAAAAATAAATTTTTTTATTATTTATTTCAAAATAGTAATCTAACAGTGCACAAATACCACTTATACTAAGAAAAATACAATCCAAAATATTATAAGTAGGAAGAACAAAAATTGCTTAAATTATCCCAGTATTAATTATTTCATTCATTTATTAAGAGGAGGTAGGTTGAAGGAATTGATTATATAATTGTTAATTGTGATTTGTAAATATTTGGATGGGAGGTAGATTGTGTTTTTTCGAGTAAAAAATATATTTTTATAGTTTTTAAATATATGATTTAGACTTAAAAGATATTGTTTCTTTGATAAAAAAATCACCACACCTCCAAACTAAACACACAACCTAAAAAAATATTATATGAATTGCATTTATCTAACCAATCATATTATATAAATATTTGACAATAACCATTACATCAATTAAATAGTCAATTTTGATCTATACGACTCTCCTCCATATAATAATTTAGGGAATTTTAATCACATATAAATGAGCTCCATTGAATAAGGTAGGTAAACTTTATGAAAGGGGGATGGACTAAAGATCTCAATCGCTCTTGCAGGCCACAGGCACTTGAAGTAGCAGTGGACAACAACGGGCACATACACACGCACGTATGCATAAAGATCACAGAGACTCTGCAATATTTGCAGGAATGGACTGAGCAAAACTATCAATCCTTTTCCTTATCTCTTCTGGATTTGCACCCACTATCTTGTCAACTTGAGCACTATCCTTCATCAGCACAAATGTTGGCATGGCCTTCACCTCCATTTTAGCAGCTACTTCCTAACCAAACCAGCATACAAAAATGTATCGAAATCACATGATAAAAAAACTTGGGTTTTTTTTTTATCAAAACAATGATGTTTTAGAGATTTTTTAAGAAAAAAAATCATGGCTTGAGTTGATCCAAATCAATCTATCTAATCCACAACACGAGTCTTAGGCTAGGATGAGTCTTGTAATTATGATTAGAAATCAATTAAAGTATTCTAAAAGTTGTGCAAAGCAATCGATACTTGGAACAAAAAAAGGTTCCAATCATCAAAAGCACTGCAAAAGAGGAAACTTGAACACCCCACATCAGAACCAGAAGTTTATTGCTCGACCAAGAAGTCTCCACAAAGATGCCTTCAGGCTACCATCATATTCTCAGCTAGAGGTTTCATGGCATAAGAT